AAAGAGAGATACCAGCTTTAAGATTTTTTTATTTCATATTGCAAAAATGCATTACTTGCCCTACCATTTAAAATATTCCTTATTTTATTTCAGTGGAAATATTGGAAGGTATGTTATAAAAATGCAAGTGCCTCTCCACTTTGCTTTCTATCTATAGGTTATAAATATTTACTAGAATAAAATTTCAAAAACTTATGTATCCAATATTAAAATAACTGTGCTGTGGCTCACGCTGTAATCTAGCTCTTGGGAGGCCGAGCGGCGGATTGCTCAAGGTCAGGAGTTCAAACCAGCTGAGCAAGAGCGGACCCTGTTCTACTATAAAGAAAGAAATTAATTGGCAACTGATATTATATAAAAAATAGCGGGCATTGGCGCATGCCTGTAGTCCCAGCTACTCGGGAGGCTGAGGCAGAAGGATCACTCAAGCCCAGGAGTTTGAGGTTGCTGTGAGCTAGGCTGACGCCACGGCACTCACTCTAGCCTGGACAACAAAGTGAGACTCTGTCGCAAAAAAAAAAAAAAAAACATAACTGTGTTCTACTTGCATTTCTTTTTCATAGTATAATGAAATTGCATTAGTAGACCCAGAGGCAGAAGATACTGGAGATGCACAGTATGAAGCTCTTCGTAAGTAAATTTACTTTGAAAGGATGGGGCAAGGGTTTTCTGTATGTGGGTGTTCATTACAGCATCACTTGTTGCCACAAAATGCTAGTAACGACACCAATGTCGATTCTTAAGGGACTGTTAATAAATGATGATTTGAACCTTGTAAGACTCAGCTATTAAAAGGCACCTCTTTTGTTCCCATGCCTTACCTCTGGTCTCTGGGCCCGAGCCTTTCAGAGGTTCCCAGGATGATGGGCTGCTGTTCCCTGTGGCTCATCTGGGTAGTAGCTTCCTATTAAATCCTTCATCATCTTCCAAAAACTTGTGAATATAATTTCTTCCTTGATGACCCATGCTCTCGGTTTACTTTGTAGTTAACAATTTCATGCCTTCACTGGATAATCTGTGTGTGTGTGTATGTGTGTGCTTTATTCTCTGGAGGAGGCAGAGGTAAACGGCCACGCTAGGTAAGCCATCTGGCAGTAAAAGTCCATCATTAGAATGTAGATAAATTCACAGATGGTAATTCTGTGAGTTTGCAATGTTTATTTGCATAATTCACAGTTGAAATTTTACTCACTGGTCATACTACACTGGATGAACAGTGAATGTGATTCTAATGCATGTGAATTGCATTCAAACCACCAGTGCTTACCTACTCGTTTTTTTTTTTTTTTTTTTTTTTTTGCCTTTTGATTAAAAACTCTTGTTAATGTTTCCCTGCATGCAAATATAGGCACTGCAGTTTGAGTCTAAGTAAAAACTTTTGGTAGTTGAAATGCAGTAATAAGATACGCAGCTATCAATCCATTATCCTCACTTTAAGCCAAGAAAATAAAATGATGTGGTTTTTTTTCTAGACAAACCATGCTGTATTGCTATTATCAAACCTGATGCTGTGCTTAGTAGAAAAGCTCTAGACATTAAAGAAAAAGTAAGTAGTATTTCCCAAAAATGATTTAATTGCGAAAATAACAACCCCTTAATTGTCAATTTGGAGTCAAGCTTATCATTTAGAGTGAAATAGAACATAATACAGTTTTGGTGCTATGTACTTCGAAAGGCTTTGTGCATTTTATGTCTTTACAAAGGTTTGATCTACTCATGGAGTCTTTAAGTAACCTCGCTCTACCAAAATCCCACATAAATTGTAAAAATTATGGTTTTTATATGGATTGTAACAGATGTTCTTCTTGTTTAATTATGTGTCATGTGATCTTGTTATAACTCACATTAACTTGCTTTATTCCCTGTATATTGTTTCAAATGTATGGTCTTTTTCAGTACATGATAGCTTAAGGATGCATTTAATATTTTGCTTTAGAGCTAAGATAACCTGTTTTTTTGTTACGCGGAGGAAAATTACATTCTAATTCGGAGGTCAGCAACCTTTCCTCTAAAGGGTCAGATGGAAACAATTTCTAGGTTTGCTCACATATGATCTCTGACAACTACTTAACCCTGACATCATACCAAGACAGCAGCAACAAATAATATGTAAACAAATGGGTGTGGCTGCTCCAACATATTTTATTTATAAAAGCAAGTGGTTGGCCAGGTTTTGAGTGCAAGCTGTAGTTTGCTGAGCCCTGAACAACGATTTTATGTTGGAACAATAAAATTGTATTGAAATTTGAAAGAATGTTGCATGTGCAAGGGTTAGGGTTAGGGTTAGGGTTAGGGTTAGGGAGATCACATAGGGAGCTATATGGTACTATATCTCTTGATGAACTTCCCCTTATGGATTCATTCTTCGGCTGTAGTAGCATTAGCATTTATTAAACTGCAATAAAGTAGTCGGTCCACAGGTTATGGGACATTTACTATCTATTCCAATTATATGTTGATTTAATTAATATTGCTCTCCAAGGATAGCTCTTCCCCCCACCCCGATTCTGGTGTATGTGTAGAGGTTGAGAGGGGCACCAGACTGCACCCCATTCATTCCCTCATATATTGCTTATCCTGTATATAGGGTTTCAAAGATAAAATCACATACCGATAGCTTTCTGTTTCTTATTAAAGTGTGTTTTAATAGCCACGATGGTGCAAGTTTTCAAAATTACATAGTTCTTTGAGTTGAGGCAATACTATTAATCATCAGTTCATCTTATTTTTTTGTTCTAGCATAATAAACAACATTTCAGAGACATAATGAATATCTACTAAATACTTCACCTCTCTGGAATGCAGTTAAAGGCTACATAACAGGACAGAAAAAAAATGACTGTTTTGAATAAAAAGGAAATGAACACACTGCATTTTTTTTAACTATAATAAAAGAGAAGTTATCAAGCTTAAATGTTGCTTGGATTTTATTTTTTGTTGTCAGGCACTATGTAACTTAATAAAGACATGATTTGAATTTTTAGAAGTTACTCAAATTAGAATGTCAGTCAGGAGAGTTCAATATCAGCAGTTGTTCAGTATCAACAAAGCCAATGAAACCAATGGAGCATTTGCTTTGATTGTCGAAGCAGAATGTGCTTGATGCTGGATACTTCCAAATCAAATGGAGCTCACATTGTTGGTATCATTTAATATAATTACTGACTTGCTTTGAACCCAGCTTCCACTTTCATTTAATTGTTGAGTATCTCATTGGGCTGGTAAGATTAGCCTCAAAACTTCTGTGTTACATTTTATTACACTTGAGCTGCATGCAAACTGAATTTTCCTATTAAACTTTCCTTAAAACAAAGTGTGGTTAAATCTTAAATTGTATCCTTCCTAATAATCTATGCATATGTGTTGCTTTAAGAGTAAATTGTACTAGATTATGAGTTGCATAGCATTCACAGATTAAAAGCCTAAAAAAAAGGTTAAAGCAATTTTGAAAATAAGTGGTTCAAAAAATACTTGGAAATTTATGTCTTTATGAATGATGAAGAAAGCCATGATATTTTTCCTTGGAATTAAATTAAGTTTTTCACATTTTGAAGCAATTCACTTTTACAGAAATGTTTCAGATTCTCTGGTTTAAGTCTTGAAAACTCAGATATCTAAGGGGCATGCAAACGATCTTCTTTGTGTATTTTTGAGCCACCTCAAACCTAGTGCCATATGGATTTTGCTGAGCTTTTCACATGAAATGCATCCAAAGCTGGGTGGTTGGTTAAGCCCGGGAAGCAAACATCCTTAACTTGTTTTACATGTGGTCCCACAACGCGTCTGGATTTCGCCTTACTCTCTAATTGAAGATTACCAGTGCAGGATTTGTCATAGAAGCAGAGGCTAAGCTGATTCTCACTGAAGATCAAGTTCTTGAATTCTACAGTAGCATAGCAGACGAGGTAAGAAAGTTAAAAAAGAAAAAAGCCACTGTGTACTCATATACAGTGGATTTCTATAAGCGTCTTCCCTACAGAAAAGCAAATGAGTCAGTCTGATCAACTAAAATAAGTTCCAGGTGTCCCTGTTGGTGCCGATATCATGGTGATGCCCAAGTTGGTGGCTCTGAAGAAATCTCCAGTAGATATAGTGGCCACCAGGCAAAACTGGAGGGTCACATTGTATTTTGTTGGAATAGAGACCTCTTTATGTCATGTCCTCCAAGACTCTCTGCATCATCCTCTGGAAGTGACCATCCAGTGCTGTCCTGTAGATTTTTATCGTGGGTTGAGGGCTCCTTGTCGTCAGCTTCACAAGACTGCTTTAGTCCTTTCTTTACCCAAGGGCCTTTCTCTCAGGCTTTTGTTTTTTAATTGTCTTTTGTCTGGGGGAATATCACAAAGGCAGTGCTGTGTATTGGGAAGTGTACTGTCGTGGGGATCAGGAGACCTAGCTTCTAGAAATGCACTGTCCAGTGTGGTCCCACTAGCCAAGTGGCCATTTGAATTTAAATTCATTAAAATTAAATAGCGTTAAAAATTCAGTGTTTCCGTTGTATTAGTCACATTTCAAGTGCTCAATAGCCACATCTGTGATTAGCCACTAGTCAGAGAGCACCGAGGAGCATGTTTACCGTCACAGAAAGGTCTGCAAGACAGACTTTGTAGAACTAGCTGCACCCCTCAAACCATCTCTTTTGGCCCCAGCTTCCACACACGTGAAAGGAAAGGATTAGATGAGCTGCATCAGCATCAACTGTGAACTTTTGAGAAAATCCAATTCCTGAGCCCTCACCTCAAACTTAACTAAATTAGAAACTCTGAGATGGGGCTCTAGAAATCTGTGTTAACAAGCCCTCCAGATGACTTGGACGTGTCTGAGAATTGTTGTTTGACTATCTTTAAGATCAAATTCCTTCTAGCTGTGAGTTGCTATTCCTCAAAAATGTGTCTGTTAACAGGAGGTTTGTGAGGATGACATTCCTTTGCCCAATGACCATGACTCAGAAGGTTTCACTTGACCTGGGAAGTAGCCACCCTTGTAGCCCCGCCATTTCAGGAGACTGAAGTAAACAGTGTATCGTTTTATTTTGTAGCCTGACTTTGAAGAGTTCATGTATTTTATGACGACCGCCCTGAGCTATGTTCTAGTTCTATCTAAAGGCAGTGAACAAGTGCCTATCTTGGATGAAACTGAAACCGAGCCTGAAACGGAACCTGAAGAGCTGTCTGAGGATCAACCTGATGGCCAAGTTGAAGTCACACCTGAAGTGACGGGGAAGCGAGACAGGTAGCTCCAGACTAGGAATTGCACCATTTGCGGTGTTATTAGGTGATGACCTGTAATGTCTAAATATCTCAAAATGCTACGGGCAAGTGTTTTTATGTGGAAACCACAAGTATTACTTCCAGTCAACCTAAAATACTGTATATTCAGAAAAGCTGAAATTGCCCTGAAAGTTTATGTCATGAGCATTAGAAAGAGAGGAATTTTCCCTGCTTGTGTTTCTAAACTGGGCACAGCAGTCTAGCCTGGTGGCCTGGGCCTTACAAGGCATCCTGGAACCTGGAACTGTGCACGATCCCTCCCCAGCCAGTCCCTCCCCCATCCATCCCCTTCCACTCCCCTGTGCCCTAAAGACACCAGGTGTACACTGTCACTTAAGGCAGTTAATGGTTGTAAGTTGCTGAGAACAAAATGGTTGTATGTTTTTGTTAATGGATTTTCAAATATTCGAAAATGAACATAATTAATTTGCACAGTGTTGGTTTTATGTGCTGCCGTTTGTGCCTTTTATTCCTCCAAATATCCAGAAAGTCCAGAGTTGAGCACAACAGTTGTCAGGGCTGTGTCTGAGAGAAAGTGGAGAGAACAGAACATACTTAAGGTGTCTGAGTCTTGAGCTTTCATGGATGTGTCTCCCCCTGCTTGGCAGTCCATCTCTGTCGTATCTCCTGGCTGGGAATCCCCAGAACTCTCCTTGTTGTCTTATTAATGAATCGTACTGGCTTCTCTTGAGTGGCTACATCTATTGGTTCTTAGCAGTTTTAGGTAGTGGGAGATCCTGATGTCATTACTTCCAAGTTTTCACATGATAGAGGGACTCCTAAGGTGAATCAACTGCTGGAAAAGGGCTTTGTGAACAGGATGAGTTACTTTCAGCATTTTAAAGGGAAATAAATGATAAGCAATGGCCAGAGGGAAGGTTTGGAAGGGGTGTGTTGGGCTTAAAAAGATACCTGATTTATACCAGAATTTTTGAGCCATTCAAAAAAAATATGCTCTGTGAAACACTCATTAATGTAACTGGTACAAGACAAATCATTATTCCCTCGGGCCATTTGGGCTATTGTTTAGGTGGTAAATCTCCATCATATCCAACTTGGAGAAGCTCCTGTCTCCAGTTGTCCAATACCCATATAACAGCATGAACAATGTAGGTGTTTCACTTGGCAGGGTGGGGGTGGAATGAGAGTGCAAACCTTGCTTTGGCAAAGTCTGCAGTGTTTTCTTCCTAAACTTGGACTTCCCACTTGGCCTTGGCCAGTGCTTGCCCCAAACGATAACCACAAGCAGGCAGCACGTGACGTGGAGCTTGCTTGTTTGCTGCTTGCTGCTCTTTTCCCAGCTCCTGTTCTGGAGGGAGGGCCCAACAGGTGCTGTCACCTCCATTTGACATCTTTTAGGTAGATCCAGAAACTGAAGGATTAAGGACAAAACGCTCATGAATAATTTATGCATTTGTTCACTTTTACTTTTGATTGCCACCTCTCTCCTACCTTGGCGCCTCCTCACCCTCCTCTCTGGGTGGTGGTGGATGGAGGGTGGGGCAGAAGAGAAGTTAAAAGCAGAGCAAATAGACTTGGGGTGATCAGTGACCCTTCCCATGAGCAAGAGCTGTGTCCAGGGCAGCAGAGCCCCGGGGTTTTGTCGGGCTGGTTACGCCTGCAGAGATAGACACGCACAGCTCTTGAATCACGTGGCCAGGGGAGACTTTCTCCCTGCCAATGATGGCTCTCACCTGCTCCGGTGGCTGGCTGGGAGGAGCATGGAAGATCCGGAAAACAGGGAAACAAGGACCCACATTTTTCATTTGCATTCTAGATTCCTTCCTGATGATTTTTTATCATAGTATTTATATTATCTGTTTACGTGTCTGGCTCCTTAATCAGCCTATGTATTAAGAAGTCAAAGGACAGTGTCGTTTATCTTTGCTTTCTGGTCTTTCCACAGATCAGGAAGGTGTGGTTTCGTTAGCTACATTGCCCAGAGTCACACAAGTAGTTACTGGCAGTCTTCACTCATTCATTCACTCATTGTGTTCTGCAGAGATTCATTCATCTAACATTTATTAAAGTATCACAATGTGCTAAGTCCTGGAGATACAAAGATGGGGGAGAATTAGATGACCACCTCTGAGGTCGCCTTCAAGTTAAATCTTTATGACTGAGTGAAGGTGACATTTCATACCTTCCAAATATGTTGTATTTCTCTGTCCATAGGAAGTGTCTATTCTGTTCTTGGTCACCTCTCTATGTGTCCTTCTCTGTGTCATAGCTATGGAGAGCTTGTTTTTTCTTTTATGAAATTCTCTATTAGATTAAAGATAATAGATATGATTCCTAAAATAACCTTTAAAGGTAGTGATATACTTAGTACGTTTGAAACCTAGAACAGGTCATCTTCTTAATATCCCTTTTCTCTATATGACAAAACTATTTTAAGAACTAATTATTGAATGAGGTTAACAATACCAGAAAAGAAACATAAACAATGAAAAGTCTTTCATGACTTCTGTATATATAAACATATGAGTAAAAAATAAACATAAATATTACAATACCCCAAATGAAAAAAGCGATAGAGGAGTGCTATTTTATTATATTAATATTTTTATAAAGAAAACACATTCATATCTATATATTAGTCTACCATGTAAATGAAATATAGTTTTTGTTTTAATAAAAATCTTAATTTTTGAAGTTTTATCAGTGATGTTCTCAAAATTATTCTTTGCTGTGTGGTCATGTTTAATAGACAGAGCTATGTAAATTGACCATTTCCCAATAAATTCCAGAAATTACAATACTTTCAATAGTCTCGTTGTTTTTGGGTTCATTCTGCCATGTTGAGTACAATGTAGAGAACACTGTTTATTAAAGGATAAGTAACAAAAATGTGAAACTTGAAGCATACATATATATTATTAAAATTCAGTGCTAACCACAGTAATTGTTTAGATTATAGTGCACTGAAGATTTTTTTTGAAGAGTATTTTATCACTAACATTCTTTAGAATTGCTCGTGTGTGGTGATGACACAAAGCGGCCCTACTTTTAGTTGGTTTTATTATCGGTCTAAAATTTCCCTTCCACTTTGGGTTCCTTGGCAGCAACCCCACACTTGGCAGCAACTGAGAATAAGTTACTTACAAGGAATGGGACTCTTCATAGTCCACCGAGAGAAAAAAAATCCTCAACCCCTGCATTCTTTACAAAGCCAAGATATTTACTGGTTAGAGTAAAGGAAAATGTTCAAGGATATGCTCACGAATTTATTGCCTATATACCCATTCTGTGTAAAATATTTGAAGAAAGATTCAACCAAACAAAAGTATGAGGGAATAGAAAGAAGGAAAACCATTGTTATTGGTGAACCTTAAAATCTATGAATACACAAATACCCACATTACATAATTATTCTGGGTTATATATAATGTAATAGCTAATGAAAGACTCTTAAAATAGAAGGAAATTCTTATAGATTCTAAATTATCTCAACAAAACCTAGAAGCTGCTGGACGTGTCTGGAAAAATGGTTCAAAAATCTCAGTGAGAGGAGAGGAAAGAGAAGATGAAGAGGGTAGCTGAAAGTATTTTAAGGTTCTTGTTTGAGTATGTAGAGGGGGTTTAAATAAAGTTGGAAAATAGTGTGCCAGAATGCAAGAAATAGTTGAAACATATGCGTCTAACAGTGGGAGCAGGAAAAAAAGATAAACATTAGTGCAGCGGAAAAGTATACTAGAACTTCCACAATAACGAGGAAAAAATATAAAATGAATAGAAACTTGCTTAGACCAGCAAAATAAGATTTAAAAAAGGAAACCATAATTTAAAATAAATAGCATATGTAAAGTAAGGAATGGAAGGAATAAAGTCATGTATAAGGCTATTCTACTAAATATAAGTGGGTTAATTCTCCCATTAAATACAGAGATTACTAGATTAAAGTAAAAATGTACTAAATTAGAAACCATCGTAGAAATGATTCAAACAAGAATCATCAATGGGTGCTAAATGAACTGTGTGAAAAATGCATATAGTTTTATAGAATGTCTTCACAGATGACTGACTTGTTAATTTCAAAGGGGAAGTTATAGCTTTCTAGTAGAGGAAACTGGGGAATACCAACTTAAGCATCTTGATACCACCAACAATGGGAAAAACTGTCATCATGTACTTCCTATGTGACGGAGCATGTGATGGACCAAGAAGGATGCAGGATCACTTAGGTGCTTTTCTTGTGAAAGACTCATAACCTGAATATGAAAGGAAATACTAAGTCATTCAGTAATTTTAAGCCATCCAAAATAAGGGGCAGTCTGTAAAACAACTGTCCTGGATGCTTTAAAACATCAATAGCATAAAAGACAAAAAAGGCCAAGTCACTCATAGAAATTTAAGGAGGCTAAAAAGATAGGACAACTACATGCAATGAATGATCCTGGATTAGAAAAAAAATTACTATAGGCCAGAAAGTATTAGAAAATTAGTGAAATTTGAACATGGACTGTTTATGATATAATAATTTTATATCAATATAAGAGAGAAAAAATGTGGTAAAATGTTAGCTGGTAAATCTATATAAAGGGTATAAATGTGAGTTCATTGTCCCAGTCTTGCAATTTTTCTGTCAAATTAAATTTTTTCCAATTAAAAAATGTTAAACTTCACTCATCATTCTGTCTAGAAGAAACACACACACACACACACACACACACACACACACACATGAAAATAATGTGATGGCAAAAAATAGGAAAAATAAAGTATTAAAATTGACAATTAAAAATGTTAAACTAGGTAAAGAAAGACACAATGTAGAAGGCAACATTTATTAAGTGGTAGTAACCAATGATAAATCATGCCCACAACCAACATAAAAGCTAAGTACATAAGGATGAAAGTATTAGAAAAACAAGGAGATAGCTGGGCATCGTGGTGCACACCTGTAGTTCTAGCCACTCAGGAGGCTGAGGCAAGAGGATTGTTTGAGCCTAAGAGTTTGAGCTTGCAGTGAGCTATGATGACACCATTGCACTCTACCCAGGGTGACAGAGGGACACTGACTGTGTCACAAAATAAAAGAAAAAAAAGATACAGTGGATAAAATCTGCTAGCAAACAAAAATAAGCAAGGATATAGAGGAATGGGAGATAAATATTCAATAAATTATGTATAATAAATGATCAATAATATATGAAATATAAATATATATACCACCTTACATATTACAAATAAATTTTCTCCATTTACCAAGAAGACCTTATCAACATTTTTGAAATTAAAATTATACCACATATATTTGCTGGTTACAATCCAAATATTTAGAGATAAACAATAAAAAGGTTATAAAAATGTCTATTTGAAAATATGAAATATGCATATTTTGTCCTTAATCCAAAGACAAAATTAAAAGGAAAAATAGAAACTATATAGAAAGTTCTACATAGAGGAAATACAATTTTTTTCTTGAAAACATGGCATATTTTCTCTTTGTGTTTGTTTACCCTTTCATAAAGTCAAGTATAGTATAGTATTATCTATAGTATTATAGATAATATCATATAACTGATTTTTGGAGTGGGTTCAATAAAATGTTGAATTAAGTATCATATTCTTATATATAATAGCATAGATTATATACAAATTCTAATTGTATTGTATCTAATAAATAGATACAACTTAGTCTTTACATAAAATTCAACTTTTATTTGCTTTATTAAACTCCATGTAAATTGTGAACATATCAATTTTAATGTGTTGGCATGGTCATTAAGCTTCAGTTTATAATAATCTTAACTTATATTTTGAATTACAGCACTTTACAAGAATATCTGGAAAGACAACATATATCTCAGTTTTGTGATCTTGAGGAAGATATAACTAATGTGACTAAGTTCGTTGATATCTTCTTCCCTGATTTTAAAACTGTGAAATTACAAAAAACGCTGGCATTACTTCGGCCAGATCTCCTTCATGATAGGAAAGGTAAGAAATAAAGCACAAATTGTTTAAGTATTTTGTAGACAGGAGTTGAATAAACCCTAGTACAATTACCTTTAAAACATGGTTTAAAATTTAACAATGACAAAGCGCCTTGAGTAAGAAAATTAGTTAATATTAATTTACTAATTTCTCAAAAAATAATGAATAAAAAATTTTTATAGTTCAGGAGTTTATGAGGCATTTTCTAACCTGTGTATTTGTTAGAGAAGATTTTAACATTGCAGAGTATTACATCATAATGATTGGAAATTTTCATGTCTGAAATGCCTCAATTCAAAACTTGGGTTACCTCTAATTGATAGTGTGACTTGAACAAATCTATTTCTTCATCTTTATGAAGAAAGTAGCATATTAAGTAGCATATTAAGACCATTCACATTTAAAGTGATGATAGATATAGTTGGATTAATATGTACCATGTTTTTAACTGTTTTTTATTCATTGCAATACTTCTTGGTGTCAACAGAAAAGAAGCCAAACTCTATGAAATAATTAAAAGAGTTTTATTCTGAGCTGAATATGTGTGACTAGGGTCCAGAGAGCCATGCCCAAAGAGCCTTGAGCAAGTGGTCTCACCATAGCTGAGTTATAGTTTGGTTTTATAGATTTTTAGGAAGACAGGAATTTCATGTAATGTCATAAATCAATACAGGGAAGGTGTACATTGGTTTAGTCTGAAAAGGAAAAGTCAGGACATCTCAAAGCAGAGGATTGTAGGTTATATAGGTGGGTTTAAAGATTCTTTGATTTGTAATTGGTTAAAGAAATGAAGCTCTGTCTAAAGGCTTACAATGTTTTAAGTTAAGATAAGGAAGTTTGTTAATCAGAGATAAGCCACCAGACATAGCTGTACATATATCCAGACTCAAGTGATCTGTTAAGTAAATTGATAACCTGAAGGTGTGGTTTAAACTTTGTCTTACATGGCCTTAGGCTTGTTAGTGATTTTGCATCTTATTATTACAAAGGGAAAAAAACAAAAAACTCTAAAAGGGACAGGGCATAACTAGGCATGTCTGACTTTGCTTCTCATCATGGCTGGCAATTCAGCTTGAAGGTTGTGTGTGTGTGTTTTTTTTTATGTTGAGGAAGGGTTCCTCTTGGCTAAGGGGGTCCATTCAATCAGCTTGGAGTCAAGATTTTATTTGGGTTCACAAGGCTTAGTGTTCTTTGAGCTTCCTGTATCTGTGGTTTGGTGTCTGTCTTTAGTTTTGAAAATTCTCAGTCATTATAATTTCAACTATTTCTTCTGCTTCTTTCTCTCTTTCTTCTTCTGGTATTATCACTATGTGTGTGTTACGCTTTGTAATTGTCCTAGAGTTAGCCTTCTCTCTATTTTTTTTTTTTCCTCTTCTCTTCATTCTTTTTCATTTCAGGTCAGGGAGTTTCTGTTAATATATCTTCATCTCACTGATTTTTTTTCTTGACTGTGTTAAAACTACTGATGAGCCCTTTAAAAACTATTCATTTCTATTAAGTGTTTTTGATTTCTAGTATTTCCTTTTCATTCTTTCTATCTGTTGAATTTCCATCTCTTCACTTACATTTCTCATTTTTAACATTGTAGCTAATTACATTAGAGTAAATAATGATTGACACATAATTGTTTTAAATTCCCTATTTGTTCTGATAATTCCAAAATCTGTGTCTATCAGAGTTTGGTTCAGATATTTCTTTTGTCTCTTTAGACTGTGGTTTTGTTCCCTTGTTTTTAGCATACTTCAATATTTTTTGCTGAAAGCCAGGTGAAACATATCAGGGAATAGGAACTAAAGTAATTAGGCTTTTGGTGTGAGATCTTATGATAATCTGCCTGTAGGAGCTGGTCTGTGTTTAATGTTTACTGTAGTTTTAAATGCCAGAGTTTTCAGTTTCCTTTAAAGTTTAGTGCCCTTGTGTTTGTTTGTTGGTTTGTTTGTTGGTTTTTTATTTGTTTTTATGTTTTTTTTTCTGTCTTCTGCTGTATTTGGGTGTCCCTAAGAACTCTTCCTTAAGTAGAGTTTCTATCAACCTCTCTCAGTTGGAATCCACTGTTATTATACTGGACTGTTAACATACTGATAAGGTGTTGGGAAGGAGAAACACTATAATCTTCTTATTAAATCCAAAGGTTTAGTATGCCTCAGTCCCTGGGCTGTGATAGAGTTGTCTAATTGCCCTTTCCCCATATCAGATAAGTTTCTGGTAAAGTAGTTTCCTGTAGAAATTTGTTATGGAGAATTCTCTGGATGTATTTTAAAATGGTTACCTTTCCCCTGGGCTACTTTTAAAGTGTTTACTTTCCCATTCCCTCTGAAGGAAAATGAGGGAATTGTTTTCTAATATTCACTGTGAGAACCTAGTGGGTCCCCTGGAGGTGGAACCCATGACCATGTGGGTAACTTCTTAATATTGAGCCCTAGTTTTGTTTTGTTTTTTCCAACTCTCAAGCTAGTTCACACTCAGACTCCAGAAAATATTTCAAATTATTAAATTAACAGTTACTATTAACTATTACCACCAGTTACTGTCACCCGTGGCTTTGGCTCCCAGGAAACTAGCTAATCTTGGCTGTTATTTCTGTATTCATCTGTCACTCTAGGTTTTAGAGTGGCAGTTTGCTGGGTGACTTCAATTCTCTGATGGATCTAAGAAAAGTCATTAATTTTCAGTTTGTTCAACATCTTTTCTTGTTGTGAATCCTGGAATAATAATTCCCAAGATAATTTTATGTTATAGATGAACCAGAAGTCTATTGTATGGTTTTTAACTATGAAACCAATTTCATAATACATGTAGGACAATTCAGTTACCTATTTGTTCTTGAATGGGTTTCAGTCATTTGTTTCTTTTAAGAAACTAGTCTATTTCAGTTAAATTGTTTCTTTTAAAAAATTAGTTTATTTTAGTTAAATTGTCAAGTTTATGGCATAGCATTTTTCATAATAATAATATCCCCTTATTAATATCTGTTGGATCCATGGTTGTTGGTATGGATAATTTGTATTTTATATCTTTTCTCTTGGTCAATATAGACAGATATTTATTAATTTTATTGGCTTTTCAAAGAATCATCTTTTGTCTTTATTGATTTTCTCTATTTGTTAGTTTTAATTTTATTTATTTCTGTTATATCTTTATTATTTCCTTCCTTCTCCTTTCTTTGGGTTTAGTTTGCTCTTTCCCTTCACCCCAGTTTTTTAAGGTGAAGCTTAGATGATTGACCTGGGAACTTTTTTTCTAATGTAAGAATTTAATGCTATAAATTTTTCTCTTAGTATTGTTTTACTTGCACAAATTTTGATAGGTTGTATTTATTTTCATTCAGTTCAAAATATTTTATAATTTTCCTTTACAATTTATCTTTAACCCTTGGATTATTGAGAAATATGGCTTTTAAAAAAATTTCTAAGTATTTGGAATTTTCCAGATATCATTTTTGATATTTAGTTTAATCCCATAATGGTAATAGATAATGGTTTATATAATTTCTATTTACTTAAATTTCTGTAGTTTCATTTTATGACTCATATATGGTCTGTACTGATGAATGTTCCATGTGTACTTGAAAAAGAATGTGTATTTTGATCTTTTTGGGTGGAGTGTGCTATAAATGTTGAATAGATCCAGTAGGTTAATGATGTTCAGTTTCTATAGCCTTAGTGATTTTCTTTTTCTTCTATCAATTAATGAGGGAGGAGTGTCGAAGTCTCCAAGTATTACTGTGGATTTGTCTATTTTCCCTGTCAGTTCTCTTAGCTTTTCCTTCATGTAATATAAAGTTCTGCTGTTAGGTACATGCACATTTAGGAATGTAACATCTTTTTGGTGAATTGACCTTTTTATCAGTACGTAGCATCTCTCTTTTGATCTGGGAATTTTTCTTGTTCTGAAATACACTCAGTCTAATATTCGTATAGCTACTCCAACTTTCTTTTGATTAGTGTTTGCATGGTATGTCTCATTTTATCCTTCTACTTTTTCCTTTACTATTTTTAAAGATTGTGGTAAAATACATACTGTAAAATAAAAGTTTCCATTTTAGTCATTTTAAAGTATGCAATTCAGTGGCGATAATTATATTCACAATGCTGTGCAACCATCACCACTACCTATTCCAAAATCTTTACCACTGGAAACAGAAACTCTGTACTCATTAAGCAATAATTTCCAATTTCCCTCCCTCCAGCCCCTGGTAACCTCTAATCTACTTTCTGTCTGTATGAATTTTCCTGTACTAGATATTTCTTATAAGTGGAATCATACAATACTTGTCCTTTTGTGTCTGGCTTACTTGATTCGGCACAATGTTTTCACCTATGTTGTAGCATGTATCAATACTCCCTTCGTTTTTATTGTGAAATCCGAGATAAGAACAGAACCTGCTTCACTGCGTTGTCATGAGATTTAAATCTGAAAGTACACTTAAAGTTCTGGAAATGAAGTAAATGCCTAATACATGTTATCTATTATTATTGTGTTACATATCTCTGTGTGTGTATATATATATATAAATTCTTGAGTACTGCAATTAATTAATTTCATGTGACTGGGCATATTTCCACCACACCCCTTTATACAACTGCAAGGCATATATAAATATGCAACAAATATGTTCTGGCTAATCCATTTCCTAGCACACTTACTACAAAATCCCTAGAAAAGAATATCCCATTAACTGGAAGTGACAAGTATTAAGTCTACAGATGATGTATGAAAATTGGAACTACATATCTTCATTGTGAGTCAGTGGATGATTGTTGCCTCATTCATGTTGGGTAGAGATGTCAGGAGCATTTAGATCTAGTTCCTGGCTGGCTTCTGTTGGCTACTGCCTAAGGCAGCCCTCCTGGTTCTTTCTTTCTTTCTTTTTCTTTTACCCAGAGGCCTTAGATGAGAGCATCACCCACAAGCAACTCTGTTATCTAAGGCATATATCCTCAGCTCAAAGCTTAGTTTTCTGGTTAATTTTGAAATTGGATGCTTACACCTCTCATTTATAA